AGGAAAAAAAAAAAAAAATCTAAATTTAATTCAATTATTCCACATTATTATAATTTTTTCTTGGAATAAATAAATTAAAACAAAAAAAAATAAAAATGAAGCCCTTCACTTTGGCTTTCTTGCTTAACCTTTTGTTGGTGTTAAGCTCTAGCTTGATTGGATTCATTGGTGCAGATTCAAGTATGAAGCTTTAACTACTCTTTGATCTCCAATTCATATAATGCTAATTAATTTAGTTAGCAATTATTTTTCAACTATTTTAATTATATATATTATGTTCTCCGATCTCACGTTTTACTAATCGTACTACTGTGTCACGTCTACATAATGACATTATTTATCGTAAAAGCCATCTGGTTAGTTAATAAGCTGTACAATAGTTAGTCTGTCATACTTGTATACTTCTTGTATGTCGCACTTTATAAGACTATATAAATAAAAGTATGACATTCCGCACATATTAATTACGCTCGTGTGAAGGTTTTTGCGACTCGAAATGTGGAGTGAGGTGCTCAAAGGCAAGCCTTCACAAGAGATGTCTCAAATACTGTGGGATTTGCTGTGCAAAGTGCAATTGTGTGCCTCCAGGCACTTATGGGAATAAGGATGCTTGCCCTTGCTATAGGGACCTCAAAAATTCCAAGGGTAAACCAAAGTGCCCTTAAATTGCAAATTTATTATATATGTATATATAATTGTGCCAAACCATATGTGATTGGTTCGTTTATTATTATACAATTCGAAAAAATAAATTGTAATGAAGTATAAAGAGTTATGTATGGATTTCATGTTATGATCGTATGAAATACGAATATGTTGAAATTGATTGATTTTCATTTAGAGATTATTTGTGAATCGATTGCATGTGAAACTGTAAACGAGTCGAGTCGATCTCAAGCACTTGATACTTTGGAGCTCTAATGTATCGAACTGAGATGTTAACTCAACTAATTGATAAACAAGTTCAAACTGGAGCCCTAAAAAATCGGAAGTTACTGAAATTGCTAAAAACATCTTCTTCTTTTTTCAGGTCAATGAGTCTTTACAAATTGTATCTACCTCAGGTGTTAACGAAATGAAATTTAAACGAGTTCAAGCTCTGCTCGGGTTCGATCTATTAAACATAGTATCAAACTTTTACTTGCTCATGCCTCATGCCTCATCAAGGGACACAATCACCCAGTTGATCAATAAAAAAGCACAATATTAATTTTTGAATCATTGTAGGATTTCATAATCCTCTTCAATAAGCTAGGACAGTCCAAACACTTCATACGGGCTTTCGTTCTTCAGCCCATAGCAATAAAATGTCATTCAATCATCAACGGGCCATAAACATTAAATTAAAGATAAATAAATAAATAAAAATTGACGAAAATAAACTATAAAACAATTAGTCAAATAGTTTATGACTAAAAATAAAAAAATTCCAAAATTTGTAAATAAATAGGGATTGGTAGGCTAATAATTTATGTCGAACTATAATTCCCATCTTTGAATATTTGAACAACTTATCCCCGCCTAAACCATACAATTATCACACTCTCCTATGTACCAATTTTATAATTTTATTCTTGTAAAATAGGCAATATTACCAAATAACAATGTAGAAGTAGACTTTTATTCAACAATGAACTACTATATATCAACCTTACACAAATCACAATCCCAAACCTTTCCACACAAACTTCATTAAAATCCCATAAAAACAAAATCCATCCAACCCCATAATCATCAAACAACTCAAACCTTCTCCACGTTCTCCCCGCTGCTGAGCGCCTCCTCGATCGCCCGCGCCGTGCAATACGCCACTGCCTGCACTGTCACCATCGGGTTCACCCCTAGCGCAGTTGGGAACACGCTCGAGTCTGCCACGTACAACCCTTCCACCTCCCAACTCTCCCCGGTGGGCCCCACCACCGACACTTTCGGCCCGACTCCCATCCGACAACTCCCCATCTGGTGGGCCGAGCACACGGGTGACGAAAGCCCACTAACCGGCCTCGAACTCTCCTCCTCCACGAATCTCTCGAGCTCCTCCTTGTACGTCTCTCTCACCCTCAGAACTCTGCCCTCTCTGTGGTGGGTCCCGATTTCCTCAGCACCTGCCGCCGCCAGTATCCGTAATGCCCTCCCTACCCCTTCCCTCAGACTCTTTGCGTCGACCGGGCCCACCTCGTACCTCACGTCCGTCTCCGAGATCACCTCACCCGACCCGACGTCTCGTGCAAGAGCGAAAATGTGGGCCGTCCTCGGGAATTTAACCATCCGGGCCTTGACTTCCCGACCTGAGGCCCAAGGGGTGACGACCGAGAACATTCCCGGGTGGAGAGCCGGCGTCTGGATCAACGCCCCATAGCCTGACGTATCGAAGTTCGCGACCTCCTTCGACATGGCGGTCATGATCCCGCCCTCGAAGCTCCGTTTCTCGGGTCCAGGCCAAGACCCGGGCCCGTCCGGGAAATGGCCCCACGCCATCACCACCGGGTGGAGCCGCAGGTTCCGCCCGATGTTCGGGTTCCTAAGCCCGCTCCGTCTCAGAAGCCCAGGCGTGCATATTGCCCCGCAAGCCACTACCGTCACTCGGGCTTCCACGAATCCGATCTGCCGACCCGTTTCCGTCTCGTACGCGAATTCCACCCCGACTGCTCGTCTCTTCCGTCCCTTACCCTCAACAACCCCATTTTTCTCGGTAACGACTCTTAAAGCTTCGCAACCCGTGAGAATCGCGCCGTTTCCCGACTCGACCAAGTCGACGAGCCAAGTCTCGGGAGTACCCTTCTTCTGCCCGTCCGCGCAACCGAGGCAACACCACCCGCAGTAGTGGTCGCGGGACGCGTTGCGGGGGATATTCTCCACATGGTACCCTAAATTTTCGCAACCCTTTCGGAGAATCATGTTGTTGAAACCCTCAATTTCGAACTCGGATTGCACGCCCATTTTCGCGCACACGACGTCCAACGCGTGCTCGTAGGCCTCCGTCTCAAAAAGTTTCAAGCCGTGCTTTTGGCTCCACTCTCGCGCCACGTGGCGAGGGGTCCGAATCGAGGCTGACCAGTTGATGGCAGACCCACCGCCGACGGTGGACCCCGCGACTATGAGAACATCCATGTTATCCGTACAGAGGATGCCGTGGTTGAGGTACATTTGGTCCATGGCACGGCCTTCGAGGAGAGAAAGGTTGTCCCGGGCAAAGTAGTCGCCTTTTTCGAGCACGACAACATTGTGGCCGGCTTTGGCGAGGACTCCAGCGACCAGGCCGCCGCCGGAGCCGGAGCCGACGACGGCGACATCACATTTGACGACGAAAGATGGGTTTTTTTTGCCGGCTTTGGGTGTGGATATGGGGAAGCCTAGGGTTTGTAGCTTGTGGAGGGATTTCTGCTTTTGATCGGTCAAGTTGACGATGCCTTTGTGGAGGGGTCCGGCTGGGTTTTCTGTGGTGGATTTTGGGTCGGGTTTTCGGGTCGGGTCCGGGCCGGAGTAGCCGATTGCTTTCCACGCGGGGTTGTCGTTTTTCTCGTTCACCTTTGTCAAAACGATTAAATATTACTTACGTAGATTAAAAAAAAAAAGGATAAATAACACTAGGAATTACGAATTTCCCATGAATGATCAATTGATTTAGTTAACCTTTGAAACGAAAAACTACTTGATATTTGAATAACATGTGAGCCTTTTAAAGAAGAAGTAAAAAATATGATGATATTTTTCATCAAAGATGCTTTATTATACCTTAACAAAAAATATATATCTTATTTTAAAAATAAAGAATATAAATTTATTTATGATTATATAAAATTTTATTCCGAAAATAGTGGATCAATTGTATTACCATAATCAGTGGGCAAAACTTAAAAAAAAAAAAAAAAGAAAAAAAAAATTCAGTGGGCAAAACTTTAAAGAATTGTTTATTTGGTGGGCCTAAATGATGGACTCATTTAATCCCTTACCAAACAAGTAGGCCCACACTACCAAGTTGAAAGTTTAAGAGGAAAAAAAGAAAGTGAACAATATCTCGGATTATGTTACTGTCATCAAATACTACACATATTGGGCTCATGCAAGTATCTGCGGGCGATGCCCAACTTTGTAGGCCCAGTCTTAATTGCACCTACCAACCCACATCGACTTTGTAGGCCCAGTCTTAAATGCTACGGTCCTGTAACGGGACTGTTAGCATCTTCCAATAATACTCGCTCCTATTTTTATTATTTGTCGTTTTGAAAAGCAACACACTAATTAAGAATTTTTTTTTTCTTGCCAATATTAATTCTATTTAATGGATGTTATGGGAAATGATGGAGATGAGATATGAAGAGACACTGTGTATTAGATGAAGAGTTAAAATAAAAAAAAAATGAACAAAATCGCCAAAGTGACAAATAATAAAAACATGAGGGAGTATTAGATAAGCAAAACTTTCTTAGGCTCTCTAGATAATAATAATTATTAGCTATCTAAATAAATAAACACAAATTTTTATGTGAGACAATCGGCTGACCGCTAGGCGCGCGGGATCGATGTATCATACTATTTGAACAAAAATAAATAAATATTTACACTATATATCTAATTAATTTATATTTCCATTTTTTGTTATCTATAAAGTATGAAATTATTCTTTAACAACCAACTAAAATTGCCAAAAGGGACAACTAACTAAGGTTTTAAGATATACATAACAAAAGGAGACCCAATAGATAATAAAGATGGCATTCAATACACACCTAAACACACACCTAATTATTCATTATTATCTAGTAGTTAGATAATTATATATTTTTTTTAAATAAATTTATATATTAACAACAAAAAATGCAAAAAAAAAAAAAAAAA